GTATGGCAAAAAATGCTAAACAATAGTGCCTACATCATTATTTTATTAGTAGGGATATAAAGGATAAACTGTCAGTCTGGCAATATCTGGAAAAGGCAAATACTGAATAAAATATATGTTTATTTGTGAAAAAAATAGTCTTTGGAACCTTTTCCAAGTCAATATTACTGTGACAGACAGACAAGTTATTGGGTATAGTGAAGGAAGATATAACATTAATGTGATTTTTTCAACAATAAATAAATAATCTAATAAATAAATTTGTTTACCACATCTACGTATTTGGGTACTTTTTTTTTGAAAAAATACAACGCAGTATTTAGTGGTCTTTAGGTAGTGTTAAACGGTAAGAAAATTAATGTTTTTTAAAAAAATCCATCTATTTTGTTTTCTCTTAAAATAATCAAGTTTTTTTTGGTTTTCAGGTAATTATATATGTTCAAAAATAATGGCAAAAAGTTTATTAATCAGTTTCCCAGCAAAGAAGAAAATTATAAGTAAAAATAAATCGATACATACCTCAATGCAATTTATTATTTTTTTGGGACAAATATTTTCTTTATTTCCTGTGCAAGGATTTAGAAGCCAAAACGTGGAAGATTTAAAATTCAGTTGGATATCTGCAAGAGTTTTTTACAACTTTTTTACAAGTCTTGGTCTGCTCTATTTAACATTAACCATTACTTATTCTACTTCTGGGGGTGGCATTAATATATTTGAGCTCAGTGAGTACGGTTTTATTAATGGTTTAAAAATAATTAGATATTATACATTTGACTTTTGTTAATAAAACGTACAAAATGTTGCAGCTATAATTATCTTTCACGTTACTACACTTATCAATAGTTTATTATTTCTGCAATTGGCAATTAAATGGCCGAACTTAATGAAAAAATGGACTGAAACCGAAACTTCAATGAAATCATATGGGTGGCCAAAAGGTTTAGATTTTCACCTAAAAACACTATGTGCTGTTATTTTTATTTCAGCATTAGGTATATAGTTTTAAATTCAACCAAAAAAAAATAACACTAAAGAATATAATTTTCTTATAGTTGAATTTTCATTAACCAAAGTAAGTAAACTACTGCTTTCGTACACGTGTAAAAAAGAGACCGAGGGAATTTTCGAATTTTACGTAGTTCGGACTCTTTTCCTGGAAGTTTTTAATATAATTCCATATTCAACTTGGCAAGGAATAATTTTGCAGGTATTTAATAAATAAATAAATATACAATTGGGATGTACCAAAAAATTAAATTATTTAAAATTTATATCAGATTATAAATGTAAATGCTACTTTTGCTTGGACCTACATAGACGTGTTTATTATGGTATTAAGTACAGCATTGGCATTCAGATTTAAACAAATCACTCATCGTCTTAAGATATTCGTTAATGGAAAGGTAAAATAATTAATGTTAATAATTACTAAATACTGTGAAAACCTGCGCACTTTCTTAATTAATCAAAATACAGTTTTAATATAACGTTTTTTTAACTTTAAGGAAAAAAGATTTTTTTTTAGGTGGACAATGTGACCGTATGGAGGAGTATTAGAGAGGATTATAACAAATTATGTATCCTTACAAGAGAAGTCAATGAAGCTATTTCTAATATGATTTTACTTTCATTTTCAACCAATTTGACCTTTATTATCATCCAAATGTTCCACAGCTTAAGGTACTGTATAAATTTGATTTGACGAATTCAAAATAGTATTTCAGTTGAGTTTACATTAAAGCATATTTTAATTTGTTAACAGTTTGACTGTTATTTGTAATAATCTGAACAATATTTTTTTTATAGATATATGAACAATAATATCGAAAAAGTGTATTTCTTTTTCTCTTTTGGTTTCTTAATCATGAGAACTTTATGTGTTTCGCTTTATGGTGCCTCCGTTAATGATGAAAGCAATGAACCCACCGATATACTATTTAATTTACCATCTAAAAGGTACAATATCGAAGTAAGTTTACATTTTTTAAAGTTAACCAACAACAAAATAAAGAAAAAGTTAACAAGAAACAATGAATACCTATGTTGTTTTAGATTGCTAGATTTTTACAACAACTTCAATATGATAAAGTTTCCTTAAGTGGAAGAGGTTTTTTCCATATAACAAGAAGGATTCTACTTAGTGTACGTATTAGTTTAATTATTAATTAATTATTCTATGTTTTTAATTCGATTTTAAGATGGCAGGAGCCATTGTTACCTACGAATTGGTGGTCATTCAAACTTGTGGGGACATTTTAGAGCAAAGTATTAAAGAAAAAAATACGACAACTATTTGTTAATTAAGACCATCATCTTTCAGTTTTCATGCAATAATCAACGTCTGAATTCTTTTTTGTCTGTACAAATAAAATATTGAATGAGCTATTGCACTTTTATTTATCGGTGCCCTTTTTTATCCCCAATTAAATTCAATCAAAAAATAGTGGATTAATCAATTTAATTTCTAACAAAAAATGGTTTAAAATTATATTCGACTATTCAAATACATTATTCATTACTTGATCATACTTTGTTTAGTCTCTCTTAATTTTAAATAACATCCAAATAATTGACTAATCATAAAATTAATGTTAATGGCGAATTAAACCGTAATTGATCCACTTTTCTGAAATGAACCGTTAGTTGTGGCAGTTGGCAACGTTGGATAACATCTTGCATCCTGGTTGTTGGTTAGAAGCGCCATTTTGGAAAGAGCTGTGTTTGTACGCTATAAACAGAAAGTGTTATATTTATCGATGTTTTACGTAGTAATTATGGTTAAAAGAATTCATTTAGTGATTGATAATATCAGTTAAGCTATTGTGTGGTGTGGAAAGTTTCTTCTTTTAATGTGAAACCGTATTGTATTTAATAAACATTGTTTAGGCGCCAACATTACAAACGTCAAGAATATAGTGTTAATTATTCACATTGATTATGGTTAAATGCTGTTTACTTTATCTGTGAAGGGAAAGAAATAAACCAAAATGTTTTACGCACATTTCGTATTAGCCAAAAAGGGCCCACTGGCCCGAATTTGGTTAGCTGCCCACTGGGACAAGAAGCTTACCAAAGCTCATGTTTTTGAGACTAACATTGAGAAATCTGTGGATGGTATTTTACAGCCGAAAGTAAAAATGGCTCTAAGAACTTCAGGTCATTTACTTCTTGGAGTTGTTAGAATTTACTCAAGAAAAGCGAAGTATCTTTTGGCAGATTGTAATGAAGCATTTGTTAAGATTAAGATGGCCTTTCGGCCAGGAATGGTGGATTTACCAGAAGAACATAGAGAAGCTGCTGTAAATGCTATCACTCTACCTGAAGTTTTTCATGACTTTGATACCACAATGCCAGAATTGAAGTGAGCAAATTTCATAAACAATGGTTTTGCCATGTTCATAATGATTTGTTTCAGTGATGTTGACATTGAAGCTCAGTTCAGTCTAAATCAGTCTCGGGCAGAGGAAATCACAATGCGTGAAGACTATGGTAGTATGGCACTGGTATCTACTGAAGATGGGTTTGGAGACATGGGTTTTGATACAGAAGCCCCAGAATTGATGAGGCACACAACAGGATTAGAACCCAGCATGGAACAAGTTAGAGTTTACTAATTTTTATTTAAAAAGTGTTATTTCTCATATACCTTTTTTTAGAGTGGTCTGTTATTTACCGATGGTTTAGAAGGAGGTATTGGTATTGATAAAGATAGAGAACCTATACCTTCTACTTCCGGTACTCAACCATCTGCACCAGCTCCAATGGAAGTAGATTTAGACCAAAGTATGATTTGTGAGTAATTCAAAGCGGCAAGAGATCAGAAAACAAAAGAGCCATTATTTGCTTCATATTTCTAATTATCAATCAATAATATTCCTTTTTTTATGAAACTAAAATTATCTTCTACCAAAAAAATGTATATTTCTTTCTGTTTTCATTACGCTGTTGAGGTAAGTCAGCTGTAACGATAGAATGCTGAACTATTATTTTCAATGTAAATTGAATGGTTAACTGTTCAACAAAAAAGAAAACTCAATAATTATAAATTGTTTTCTGGCTTCTTCTCTGTTTTCTTCTATTTTTAAAAACCTTATTACAATATAATTTTTTGTTTAGCTGGTGGGCTCTTTGAGGGAGGTCTTTTTGATGAAGCTCCAATGGGAGAAGTGCCACCAGTCGATTCTGGGCTTCATGAAGCCACCCCAGCTCCTCCTGAAATACCTGCACCACCTGACAGTGATGATGATATGGATCACTTTGGAGGGCCCCCTTCAGTCAGAAGGTTAAGTTGTATTAAATTCTGTGTTTTTAATAAGTCTAAGTTTCCTATATTTCTTCTTTTATAGTTCTCTAAGTTCTCGTCCTCCATCTCCTTTGGAACCAACGTCGGTGGCTCCACCAGCTTCACAACCAACACCTGCTCCAGAACCTGAACCGCAGCCCGAATCTCTCGAAGAACCAAGACCAACAACTCCATTAGACCAAACTACCCTTTTACAAAATGAAGAAGAAAGTTTTGCTTTAGCACCTGTTGATACATCAGCTTTAAAAGGTGAGAGACTTTTACCATAAATTCCCTCTATTTTATTTATTTACTACTAGGTGCATTGGCAAGTTTATTGGCAATTTTTAACTTTTTTATTATTTTCAAATTACTGAAAGGTATACAGTGCTTTTTTTATATTTTACTGGTATCAATTATTTAGTTTGACATTATACCAGTAGATATTTATTGGCTAGGCTTTACAAAAACGAAACGGAAAAGAAAACTCATTGTGGACGAGGTTAAGAACATATCAGGAGAAGAAATGAAACAACAGCTGTCAGATACCACCGATATTGTAACTACCCTTGATCTCGCCCCCCCAACAAAACGCTTAATGCATTGGAAAGAAACTGGAGGAGTTGAAAAATTGTTTGCTCTACCTGCGAGGCAAATTCCTTCAAGAGTTCTATTTAAAGTAAATAATTAATTAAAAACCATTTGAAATAACTATTAATTAAATTGATATATTTATTACTCAGAATTATCAAAGACATCTGATATTGAGAGCAATTGGTACTGAGGATTTTGCGATGTTAGGAGACGCAGATTCGTTGGCTCTAGACCAAATTCGAGATGCTGAGGAACAGTTAACACCTGGAGAACCCGTAATTGCTCCACGAAGAGGTAGAAAACGAAAAGTTCAGGAGGATATTGTAAGTTCAATGAAGATAAACAGTTATATATTTAGTATTTACTCTTTTTTTCTTTCAGACAAAAACACCACAACGCGTTGAAGAGCCCACTCCCGTACCAACTCCCGCCCCGCCTATTCTACAGCCTGAGGAAGCATTAGCTGCAATGATGCCTCCAACGCCAGTCGCTCCGCCTTCTGTTGCTCAACCGATTCCAGAGGAGCTAGAACCACAACCTCCGCCCAGTGTACCACCACCTGCTTATCCTGAAACTCCTGCTCCTCCACCTATGGGTTACCCAGAGACGCCCTTAATACAAGCGCCTCCAAGTGTCGGCTATCCTATCACACCTGCCCCACCTACGCCTTTACATCTTGAAGAGATGCCCCATCTTCCTTCCGAACAAGTAACGTCTACTGAAATAATTATTTTTATTATATGCTAATATTATTTATTTCATTTTTTCAGGTACGTTCTATTTTACAAGAGCAGGAACAATTGGGTTTGATGCCACCGATGACTCCAGCAACGAGCGAAGAAGTGATGGCTCAGATGGCACAACCACCTATGGGACGAACGTCGGAGATGCCACTTGGTGGTTTGGAATTACCTTCTATCGATCCCATGCCTTATTCTCAGGTAATTTTGTATATAAATTAGTATAATTGTGTTTTGTTATTTACATAGTTTTAAGATTAAATTTAATTTATCATTACTGTTACAGGAGGGTATGCAAATGGCCAACATGGGATACGACGCGGGTGCTGTTTCCGAACGGGTACCATCTCCTTGGCAAGGTGATTATGATTTGCCTCCTTCAGCAGGACCCGTAAGTTTTATAAAAAAAAAGCTTTAAATGATTGAAATTTGTATTGTAAATTGTAATACAGGAAGAAGAACAGATGGAAAACGAAACAGATGAACAATTTGAAGAGAGAGTATTGAACAAAAGGGCTTATCAGATGTTCACAGTGGTTCGAAATAAACTTCAGTTCAGTGATCAGCTTACGTTGTCCGAAATGTGTCTCCGAAATAACAGAAAACAGGTGAGTTATAACAATATTTTCTTCTATCTGAAACCTTTTTAACAAAGTTACGAAATTTGCTTATAAGATTTCCTTGAAATTTTCTTTCAGGCAGCACAAAAGTTTTACAGTTTGCTTGTACTAAAGAAGTTCCACGTGTTGGAACTTCATCAGGAAGGGGCCTATGAGGAAGTTTACGTGTCAAAAGGCTCAAAATTCGACAACCCAATCCTGTAAGAGACATATTACTATATATATTTATTTGCTGAAAGTGGAAATTACACAAAATATTTTGTACAAGAACCAAATAGTTTTAAATAAGATTTTTTTTCTTTTTTATGTGTGTATGTAATGCCAAGATGATGTTTGTGTAAATTTTGAACGATTTTGACATTTTGAAAAGATATATAAAGCGAAATAAGAAATTATTATTTTGTTTCTGAAAGTCTTATAATGAAAGTAGTTACAGTCTTTTCTAAATGCAAATATCTATTTATTGAAAAAATGTACAGGTGTATAGTGTTTTCTTTTATTAAGGTGAAAATTAATTTGATTTTTTGGATTCATTATTTTTAATTTACGTGACATTATGTAAGTGTCTTATTAGAATATTTTATATTTAGTTTTTTTTTGCGAAATANCGCAAAAAAATAGATAATTATTAATTATAGGAAAAATTATCTTTTTTTAGACAATGAACAGAAATATAATTTACGTAATTCCTGGTAACAGAGAAAAAGTAAAGGTCGAAGAAAAGTCTATTTACAAATCTACCAAATTTATGTTAATTTTGGCACAATGTTTTGCCCTTTTCCCTGTGGAAGGGGTGCTAAGTTCGGACGTAGAAGACATGAAATTTCGTTGGAAATCATGGAAAACTTTCTACAGTATTTTATTTGCAATTGGTGTCCTAATAATAACAATTTTACAATTAATAGTGTTGTTTCATGAAGGATTTTATTTTCTTGAAATGGGTACATTATTCCAAATAATAAAATAATTTGTAATTCAATGATAAAATTTTCCCCTTGTAAAACCTGTTTTACTTCAGGACCAGTTGTTTTTAATCTCAGTATACTTTGTACAATAATATTGTTCATAAAATTGTCCATGAAATGGCCAAATTTAATTAAAAGATGGAATTGCGTAGATGCGTCCTTTAAATCGTATGGGTGGCCACCAAATTTGGATATTCGTTTAAAAACCATGACAGCTGTAGTTCTCTTAGTGGCTTTAGGTAATAAAATCATAATGGACCTTTTTGCTTAAAACTTTAAAATAATAATATAAAAAATATAAAACAAACCGCAAAAAAATGCCTGTTTTTAGTTGAATTTACTCTAACAACAGTAAATAGGTGGGTAGTTGCCTATTACAAATGTGAAGGTAAAAAGTCTACATTAGGATTTTTTGAAAAATTTGTTGAAAGTACTTCTTATGGTGATATTTTCAAAATTATGCCGTATTCTACATTTTTTGGGATATTTTCACAGGTAAAGTCTACTCATTATTTATCTTTTTGATTAACTTTAACAGAAAATTTGTTTTGCTTTTCAAAGATGGTGGGGACTTATTGTAAAATTAAAATTATTGCAGATTGTGCGAGTTTTGTCAAATTTTGCTTGGTCATACACCGATCTGTTTATTGGTATCATCAGTACGCCCATTGCCTTACGATTTAGACAGTTGTGTGTTCATATAGAGGACTCTATTAAAAGAAAAGTAATTTTGTTATTTTTCTGTTATTTAATTAGTAATCGTAATTATTTAGGTGAACAATATCGATTTCTGGAAGAATATAAGGGAAGATTACAACAAACTTTGCATTTTAACAGGGATAATTGACGATAACATATCCAGTATAACATTACTATCTTTTGTAGCGAATTTGTACTTCATTCTCACCCAACTATTTAATACATTAAGGTAATTTTTATGCTGTTGTTTAATAAAAAAATATCATCGTCATCATCATCATCATTGAAATGCGTCTCCAAGCCGTCCAAGAAGTGAAGCCTTCTTATCCTGTACCTCACACTAATATATGTCTACCTCTACCCCTCTATGCTCCTGTTTCTGCTTCTACCGTAGGTCCGTCCCTGTACACAATTAACAAACAATTAACACAAACATTTTTGCTGTAACTATTTTCGTTTAGATACAGAGAAGAAGTTTTATTAAAGGCTTATTATTATGCCTCATTTTTTCTGTTAATATTGAGAACTGTCTTTGTGGCATTGTACGGGGCTTGGATAAATGACGAAAGTAAAAATCTTTGCTACACACTACATAAGGCTCCAGCTTCCGTCTACAACTCTGAGGTATTTCTACAACTTAATGTTATTATTTTCTTACAATATTTTTTTTGTAGATATCAAGATTTATAGATCAAATTCATTTTACAGAAGTAGCATTAACTGGAATGAAATTTTTTTACGTAACCAGGGGGGTTGTCTTAAGTGTAAGTCATTTTTCTTGTGTAAAAATTATTATTTACGTATTTAATAAATTTAGTTCTTAATTGTTTTAGATGGCAGGCGCTATTGTAACGTATGAACTAGCTTTAATTCAGTTTAATGAAAATACACTTCGTACAAATGCGGAGATTAATGTTACTTGTTAATATTTTCTACATAAATATCTGTGTTTGTAATTAATTAAATAATAAACGTTTACTTATTATTAAAACACTAGTTCTTGTACATGTACAGGTACCTTTCATACCTATCTCAAAGGGGTTCTGGTGTTATGCTAAATACCATTTAAACACAATTGTTAATAAA